ACCAACTTCCTTTAGAATTGTGTTATGTGGAATAATGAAGTACATCAGGAGCAAGTAGTGATATAATTTGTTTTGCAACAAGTATTTCAAATGAGATAAAATGAATTCACGTTTTTGAGGCTTAAATGTGCGAATATTACCACCTGAAGAGATGAGAATCTTTCAATAATCTTCAATTTTTCATGTATAGAAGAGCGGTACCCTCCAAATCTTTGGTATTTTTTTAAGATTTGATGTACTTTTCAAATGCAGAGTGTGCGATAGACTTACCTCCACGTGGTGCACCCTGGGCAACGCATACACATACGGCAAAAAAGTCTATTGACCGGCAGTTGACTTCTGACTTCAACCTACAATCACCCCACTGTGTCATATTCGACCCATTTACAGTACTCATCTTACCTTTTTTCTGCCTTTATGCCTGTCTCTTTTAGATCTTTGAAACACTCTTCTGTTCCCCCACCCCCCGAATTTTTTTCGCTTTGATATTTCATCCCCTCTGTGAGGCCTGAAGTCATCTAAAAGGCTAATGAAACTATCAAAATGCCTGCCATTGGATATAAATAAATAAATACTTTCCAAATGAGCTATCAAAGAAGACTATTATTATTATCCACAATAAATCAAAATGAATTTACCAACTTTAATGATGGGAATTAGCTGAAAATTGAAAAGAGAAATCTCGAAAACGAGTAAGGTGGAAAGAATCGAAATTATCCTGGGAGTGCAGGAAATATATCGTGATCCGTCCCGTGGATCGTGACGCAATGCACTCGAAATTCATCATCTTACTGCCTTAGCATAACGAAGATAATTTGACCAAAACTTGTGTGTCAGCAGAGTCTTGTTTCAGTCATAGCTTAAGATAGTAGAGCCTATTATGTCCTTAAGAATTGCATTCTTTCCAGATAAGCCAATTTTATGATCGGCTACAGACTGCGTAGTGAATTCCACTTGGGGTTAAGACATTAAATGTCGCACACTCTTCTCCCCACTGCATTTAATAGCTCTACTCTCAAAATAAAGTAATGGTAGGCTTTTTGTGAAATGCATCGGAAAAGTGATTTCACAATGCCATCAGGTCCAAAGATAAAAAAGTTCAGATAAGGTAATAATCACATTATGAGGCAACATATCAGTTTGTCAGCCCATCTCAAAATACATATTACCTATGGCTATTAAACTCACTGGTCTAATGTTTTACCCATATGTTGCCAAATGATGGGGTGTGCGATAGACATACCCCCACATGGTGCACCCTGGGCAACGCAAACACATACGCAAAAAAATCTATAACCCTGCAGTGGACTTCAAACTACCATGACTCGACTGTGTCGTATTCAGCCACTTCCACAGTGCTCACCTTACCTAACCTTTTTCTCTATCATTGTGTCTCCCTGTCTCTTTTACATCTGTAAATCACACTTCTGTTCCCCACCCCCTTCCTCGACTTTCTTTGCGACTTGGAAGCACGAAGTCAGCTAAAAGGCTAATAATAACTATCAAAATGCCCACCATTTAAAATAAATGTTGACAAGTGGTGTCGTGTCTGTAAACCTACTTTTCTTCCTTGTTCTTTTCTGCTTTATTGTCAACTGTGCACCTATGCTACTCGGATTTTGGGAGTAACAGTAGTACTCAGTAAGGCTTTATGATCATTAAATTTAAGGAACTTATTGCTATGCATAGCTCAACCGGCTTTTGAAAGGTACTTTCGGCTGCGATGAATGCCACTGTGCCGTCAATATCCCTTTGTGATTATTAGCAAGGTAGACATTGGTGGAATTTAAGGCAGCATTCAGTAGTGTTATGAAATACTAAATTGCTGATCCCTATTATCATTATCCAATCGGTAAAATATCATTCGCTAGTGGAGAATGGAAGGAAGTCAGTTTTATTATTAGGGATACTTAAAATTTGCATCTTTCTATTTCAAGCGAGTTCTGCATAACACTGCACTGCAGAAAATCCGATTAAATTTAAAATCTCATAGAGCGAAATCGGATATCAATGAGAAGGTACTCTCAAAGAGTTTGTTAAAGCAGTTTCCCATGGATGAAAAAAATGGTTTCGTTAATGAAAGCGGGGTGCATATTCGGACAATGAATATCAACTATATTTGAAATCTGTGCATTATAAAAATTGTTCATATGGTTCCCGGTGCTACTGATTCCTTGCAAATGGACGTGAGAATAAAAGACATTATCACTTCGTTCAAAAATGAATACAGATCCTCGGGGATCAACAGACGTCTACGTCCAGTAAATGAGGATGCCTATATAAATCACATATGGCCTTGAGAATTAGATTTCTCTATAAAGCGCAAAATTATGGAAAAACTAAAGCTCATAAGAAATTTTAAATTGAAGACTATTAAACACATGATTCTGATTCTCAGGTGAAGGACTCCCATGGTTCACTGAATCTCAATTTTATTGCCTAAATATTGCCGCTTAGAGGTGAAATTATTCACTCTGTAAATATTGGATACTGGGTCTTAGTGAAGCGTTACAACTTGTCAACTTCCTAATGCGAGATAGATACATGCATCTTAGCAACTATGGAAGAGAACTGGATAAACGGCATATGCAGCATAAACAAAATCTGAGAATTTGATATAGCGATTGTAAAAAAAATTATTGAAACTATTGCTTCCACAGCAAGCACGCTTTTCGTATTCCCAACCTAAATCAAGGCATCTAAACGTTGTTATTACTTGAAACATCAAAACATAAAGGCTTATTCGGTAAATAAGCTTATATTTGGACTGGAATAACGCACATTTGAAGTGTTTCGGTCAGTTCTGCTCTAAGATTAGAAACAAAGATTATGGCCCGGTCGAAGACACCAAAAAACATCAAACTATTGATAAGGAAGTTAAATAAGAGTAAAGCATTGCATTGCAACCAAAAAAACTCTATCGACATATAATCCTTTGCTAAATCGACTTTTCAACTCTGTTGGGTTTTATTTGGTTTCATCAAGCCACAACCCTTTCATTCGGGATACTCGCACCAGATGCCATAGTACGATAAAATTTTTCCGCTAGGATGGGACAAAGCCGCGTTATTCAATTCAAGTCAACTTTTAGTAAATATCACCCAAAACCAATTCATTCAGTTTTGTTAAAACTAGCAACACAACGCAAAGAATATTTCACGACCTTGCCAAAATATTTTGTTAATCGGATGAATTAATTCACTGTGGTTGTTACCCCTTTTAAAAAAACCTTGAGTACTTTGCAAGAGTTTCAATAAATAATGACTTTCTTATAAATAATTCGACACATTATGCAATGATTGATCTCTAATTTTTTTTATTTCGGCAGCTGAACAATAGGTTAACCGATTTACAGACAATGAAGACATCTGCCTCGTTAATTCAAATTCTCCTATTAAAATAATCCACAGCAATCGATATTTGGACCCATGAACTAAACTAACAAGTCATTTCCTGGATTTATAGAACAGCTTTATCAAAACAGTATTCGAGTAAATTTAGCTCGTTCGAAGTAAAGAATTTCGGAATATCCTTTAACCACATTCAAATTGCTTCAAGGAAATTTCAGAGCACCGTCTCTTCCGTTTTCTCCTAAATAAAACTCTAAAGGAGAGCTCACTTATGACATTCAACCACGTTCTTCGACCCCGCCATGAAGCGCATAAAGAGGGAATAAGGAATAAAATCGCCGAAAAAATCATATAACTCTCTCCATCTACAAAAAATTATTTCAAGAAATGCAACAATTGAAGTTACTGGAGCTTTGAAGTAGCAAAAGAAGACGAGATTAGGGCTACACCGCGTCAAACGCAGTCGCTTGGCACGCCAATCAACGGAGGAAGTTCTGTTTTGCAGAGGGGACATGGAAACTAAAACAAAAAAAAACAGAATAAAAGCGTCATTTTTTTATAATCCCAAATGGACTATTGTAGCAAAACTTTAAGTTCTCTTTGGACGAAATTAAGCAATAATGGAGTCATTTTTTTGTATTCATTAAAGGAATTTAGACATTAAACACCCGAATTATTTTTTTTGCAAAATGTACCCAACCCCACTCATGCGTGTCTCACAGCAGACTGATGCCGCCAACGTGGTGAGTTTTGGCGGTGTATCAAGCGAAGGCTAAAGACACGTATTGAACATGTTTCAAACGACAATAGCGCCTTCTGTTACGAGTCAGGTACCAATGCAGCTTATTTCGAAAGAGAACCATACAGTCCTTCAGGGCGTTAAAGGATCAAGTGATCCTTCTAACGGTAAATTTGGAGAGACTCCACACAGCAATATAGCGCAACAATAATAACAAATTTAGTAGGACTAATACAGTCATAAAGTGAGGTATCTCTTCACCCAAACTGCCAAGCTATAAACGTTTACGCATAAAGTCGCGTATATTAATTAGCAGGGGAAATGGAATTGTTTCGAAAAACACACTCGACAGTTCAATACTTGACGGGCTTTCAAATAAATTCCAACCAAATTTTAATGATGTTATGGTAAACAGTAGAGTAAATGACTATGGCCAAAATCAATTTACTGCGCGAAGAAAAAAAGGACAACGCGCCTGATGATGCGAGAAGTACCTTATGTTTACGTCTATTGATTCAAGAGTCATTTCTTAAAAAAAGTTAACAAATCATTTTATAAAGAAATTTAACAACGTTCGAAGAAAACCATTTGAAGAGGGTGAATACTCGACTTTATTCCCAAATCACTGTTGCATTTGATCAAATTCAACTCCGACATAGAGGGAGCATAATATGAATTTGCCTCGAAATAACGTCACATATTGTTGCAAATATTCGAATTTATTGGGACCAGAAAGAGGAGAGAACAAGGAAGACCCGACAAATTCAGATATGTCATTCGTATATTATATACTCGTAATTCTGCATAGATTTAATCAGGGAATGGTAATGTTTGAACTTCCCTAACCGAAATGACAAAACATAATTGGTTAGACAATAGACCTGTTGGCAAATAACATCTACCATTTTCAGTACACTGGAAACTCCCAAACTTTATGCCTTGCACGAGATTATAAAGAAATGCATTTCTAAAATTGCTTCTGAATACGAAATAGCAACAGAAATGAATTCATTTCCCCCCTTATTAGTTAACCAGGAAGTCAAACACACAATTCGTTCTAAAGCTTAAAATTAAGAAAATTAATTTTCCTAAAAGAGGGGCGTGCGATAGACTTACCTCCACGTGGTGCACCCTGGGCAACGTTTACTCACACGGCAAAGAAGTCTATTAACCGGCAGTTGACTTCAAATTACCATGATCCCGCTGCATGTCATATTTGACTACTTCCACATTACTAGCCTCACCTTCATTATACCTTTGTCTGACTCTTTATTCCACCCCCCCCCCCTCCTCTCGACTTTTTTTCACTTTGATGTTCCTTCCCTTCTGTGGAGCCTGAAGTCTACTAAAGGGCTAATGATAACTATCAAAACGCCTGCCATTTGATATAAATTTTCCTAAAAGAAAAGCAGCCACTTAAGTAACAGGTCTTCCTCTTTCACCCTGAGGTCTGAGTAATTCAAATATTGTAATGGGGTAACTGAGTGATGTAAAATAAACAAGCTCTGGTAACCTTGTTATGCCGTGAGCGGAAATGATATTTCGATGGCACAACTAATATCTTACTTCCATTAAGATATTTGTCAGCATTTACGGAATGACACGTCTTTTTTAAGTAAATATATAGGCAGAGTTTGAGAATCACTGAAAATAGACAAAATAGGCCAGTAGAAGAGCCAAATACACTGATTCGAACAATCAATCCTGCAAACCCAATCGGGAGCCCGAGAACTTTAAAAAAACGACTCCAGAACCCCCTCCTTTCCCCAACCAGCATGGACTTTGCTGCATCAAGTAACTAGAAAAGCTATCAAATTTAAAATAAAACGCTTTTCATAAATTAGAGTTTTACGGTTTTCATACGCGTATGTAGTAGGGGTTGTTGTGCTAAGCAGGACTACATGCAAGCATTGAAAGGAAATCTAAAACTCACAAAATTGAAATAGGTCGTGTTTTTATCGCCTTTAGTTGCGCATTTATTCATATGCGTACTCACCTCAAAAGAGAATCATGAACAAATCTTTGCTGTATGATCAATTTTGCTTTTAAAACTTGGTTGAAAATTAATTATTAGCCCTAAAAATATGAACATAGAAGTGGTACAAACCAATCTTTAAAATTGTAAGATTTAGGACAAACGTTTTATTCCGCTTACGAACAAACTAGGGGGGAACGCTCAATTCATAAAATGGAGGTGATACCATTCCGTATACTTATTGACAATGGTCTTCAAATAAAAATACAAACGATCCAAATGTTCTGAGCCGTTACAAAGCGAAAAATTATGTAAACATGTGATACTAACGCAAACAATAACCGTTCATTCTTTTCTGACAGGGTGTCAGAAAGTGTATGCATTATAGAACGAAATATAAGTTTTAAGGTGTGACAACAATAGATGTTGAAAATACGATAGATATGGATAATTAATAACAACTAAACACACGAAGAGAAAAAATGAAGACAGAGTCAAAATAAACGACCACGAAAATAGTAGAATTATCAACACTTTACTCGATCCTGTAGTGACATAGAGACCAATCAACTACAAATATCAAATAAATATACATTGATAAAAAAATGAGCAAAAACTAAGTTACCTTGCATGAAAGGACTTGAGAAATTATATTAACAATTAGATAAATAGCAGACATTAAAATTACCCTCAATACTGGTCGCATTTCCTTAGGACAGTGAGGATTTTTTGCAAGGATTGCGACTAATTCGGATTGATATGTGGCAAGGAGACTTTTATGATAATCCGAAAGACATACATTGTGGAAGAAATGATTGCATGACGAACGAGTAACATCTTCCTCGCGTTGAAACCCCTCAAAACAGATTGAACAATCCACGGAAGGAATATTACTGGAGATGAATTCTCGACAGCACTAAATTTGTAAAAAACACACAATTATACTAACACATGAAATCATAAAGGGATTTAGAACTCACATCAATAATAGAAAACATCATACATTCGCCAGTAAGAGACTGAATAACTTCCCTAATCTCTGATTTAAGTTTTGCAAGATCAGGATCGGAAAGGCCAACCGGATCATGCAATTCAAAAAGTGGTGATATTCGTGGATACTAAAAATAAAATTATGCTATGATAGAACGGACCTCCGAGGAAATAAGGATACGAAGTTTGAAGCAGACATTTACAGGAACTCCAACTACGCCCGGTGTCACGAGAATGTAAACATTAACACAATTATGGCTAAATGTGACTGTTATGAATAAATATAAAACACAACCAAATATCGAGCTTCGTTTCTGTAGGGAAGGCAGATTTTAGAATCGCTAGTTCGTCTGCGCAATTTGGAAAGGTAGACTGAATATATTCGAGATTAGCCATTACACTAACTTATGTGATAAAATTTACAACGCGAGTGGCACGAGGGGCCAGCGGACGCAAACTTTATTTTTCAAGGTCATTTTGATATTTGCAGATTATTATTGAGCGCAATGAATGTGTACGAACAAACAAAATTAATAATAAATGAACGAATTCAAACTTATGACTAAATGAAACGTCAAATAAAGTTAAATTTAAAAATTATCGGAAGGATAGTACGATAATCATAAGTGAGTATTAAAATTCATTATATCAGAGACTTATTGTCTGCTTATAATAAAATTTGCCTGTTTGCTAAAGTCCATCAGCTAGCTTGATCTTCGCTGAGCAGAACTGAAGGTGCTCAATTGCTTTTATTGAGTAATGTTTTAGTAGTTGATTTGGTCGCTGTGGGTTTATAACAATTTGTGCCCTCTTCAGAATACAAGTAATATTGCAAAAATGTAAGTATTTGTATTTTTAAAAAACAAGCGTTTTCTCAGTTCCTTTAAAATTAACTTACAACTATTTAAGACATATTTTGTCGGCAAAATATTTGAGTTTAAAATAACTCTTATGTTACAGACACTTTCATAACTATTGTTCCCCCTGCCCGATCTAAACTTGCAACAAAAACAATTAATATAATTTATGACTTTCTTTAATGTTACTTCAAGAAAACCGTCATTCAATTACGAAAATGTTAATAAATTTTTGAAATTTGTATGATTAATGGACCATTTTGGCTTGTTATTCACAAGGACTTTTGGTTTATTTCAACCAGTTTTCATACGAGAACTTAAATAGCAAGTGTTGATTTGAAAATAACTTTCAATTTCAATGTGGTCTTCTAGATGATGTTCATAGCTATCGTCAAAACTATTTTTAACATTTGCATGTAGCACAAATGTCGAAATCCTTCGCTAATGAAAAATCGTGGAGATAATTTATTCTTTGTCTGGGAGTCAACACAAGGGGGGGGGGTTAATATTTTATGCTAAACACAGATTATTTAACATTCAAATTGAACCATGGTTACAAAATAAATATTCACAATTTGACAAAAAATTAACTCGCAAAAAATGTAATGGTATAAACAAATGATGTCAGCAGTATATTTCAAGTTGCTTTTGTGTCGGAAAGTTTTTTTTGAGAGTATATCCAGGTATCAACATTTTAAATGACCAAAATGAAAGCATCGCAAATAATCGAGTTCTACCGCATAATCATGAGGGTAACGTTATAATCAGATACAGCAGAGGTATTAGTAGCATTTTATGAAATACGTACAAAATAGTGCCCATCGTAGATGTATACTTTTATTAAATATCATTAACATCAAAACTACTAGCACTTTTGTAAAATGACTTTTAAACACTTTTCAAGACAAAGCAGGACCATAATAGCAATAACTATAGAACAGTTGCCTAATTAAGTTAGCAATGATATTCTTTACAAAAATAACTAAACTAGTTGAGCGTTGAGTTAGAGAAAGATGTAAATGAAAATAGACATTTTCTATGCTTCAAGAAACTTACAAAATCATGGATAGCATATTAATACCAAAAGTAAATGTTATTGCAGATATATGAAATTATCTTTCCCATCAAATTATATTTTTTTCTTGACGATCATCATATTTGTACACGTTATAAAAGCTTAAATTAAAAAAGTGTATCAAAACAATTAAAATAAATTAAATATTTGATTTAAAGCAATTTAAATAATTGTACCTTACTAAACAAATTATTTGTTTTTATATTTAAAATAATACTATTGACGACCTTAACATTAATCATCCCACTTTTGACGGAAAACATTATACATGCTGTATCCCAACAATGGCAATGCTAGCCGCACAAAGGTCAAATGAAAGAACAGTTAAAGAATTAAAGAGAGCACAAAGAGATAAAAATTCACATAAATTGGTGCGATTTTACGTTTACGTTTTTAAAATAATTAGAAAAGCGCTTTCTTTTAATTTTTATTTATATGATATTAAAAGTCATTCTATGAACAGTTTGCATTTTTCTTATATATTCTTTATTTTTACAAACATTAATGTAAAGTATTGATTTTGTTTCCTTTATAGTTATCCACATTTCCTGAGTTCATAATATTTTCAATGGAATATATAGTTTAAGCAATTGATGACTGAGCCATATACTTCAAAAATATTTTACTTTCTTACCTGTTAGGGTACTGATGGGTGGATGAATAACGTTGCTGATGATCGCGCTCGATATTTGCATGAAGATACAGGTTTAGAGTTTTCTAAGGAAAAGCAATTTCCAAAAAAGTTGGTGGCAGATAAACTTGCAACTTCCAAAAATTCGAATATACACAAAACCATTGCCGTGAATTCGCGAAACCGCCAACTAGTGAGTATATAATTTTTCTTTCGAATACAAAGTGAATAAGTTTATTGTATATTGATCCCTCATTTTCCAGACCTCAAATTCCATTATTATTGAAATAAAATGGCTCATGAAAGACCAATAGGAATTTCAGGGCAAATGAACTTAACTATTCTGCAGATTATAAACTGTGTTCGAGGTAGTTATTAGCATGCAGAGTGATAGACAGGCATTCAAATAAAGATTCATATTCTTTTTCAAATTGACACCATATAACATATAAAATTAATGAAATCTTTAATAAGTTATCGATGAAATATATTTTGCTTGATCATTACTTTGCAAATAACGTCAAAGGCACTTCATATTCTACACATTAACCATGATTCAGTGTCGTTTAATTTAGACCTAACCACACTTTTTGGAAATTCTTCCTTTAATATGCTTTGCAGTCCAGCCTTGCTCGGCAGCCCTTACATCGAAGTATGCTGACAGTTGATCAAACGCGCTCTCTAACAGATAATATTTCTATGGGTGTATTTGATCCAGATTCCATCAGGAAGAGTTTTGTAAGTTAATAACTATCTTTACCTTAACGCCTATCTTGAAAAACATCATAAAAGAAAAGTCATCCCTAATATTAAATGTCGTTTTATTCAAAAATGCTTTTATCATAAAATGCTAACACTCAGGCCTAATCCAACAAAAAAACAAGCTTGAATCATTAAAAAAAATCGTTGAATCCAAAAAATTGCAGAATTTTATTAAATCACTTACTAGGATGATGGGGAGATGGTTTTAATACACCTTCTTGAACAATGTGTACCTATTTGTGATGATAATGTTTCAGTTGACTTGCATTGTTTTGCTTAGATTACAAAGGATTATGAAGAAATACCTTCTCAACTCGAAACAAATTATTTGCAGTCTTGGGAACAGCAAAATCGCAACTCAAAGGTACCACTTTAATAACTTCAAGCTTCATTTGCTAAGATAAATGTTCCAAATCTATATTAATCCTTTATTCAGAAATTAATTTCATACGAATTTGCTATTAAAAACTGCCATCTTTGAGATTCAGAGAAATTCCCTATATGAGTTTGCAGATGCTTTTTATGGTTAATTTTTGTCATTACTGCAGGCCAAAGGGGGAGAAGACATAGATCGCTCGCCTTTTAAAGAAGGCGATAAATTGCCGCGAATCTCATCAAATGCCGTAAATTTGCGACCTATTCCAGTTAAATTTTAAATAAACAAATATGTTTATAAGCTTATAATTTATTAATTTTGTGGATTCATATAGATATCTTTATACATGATTCTTGACATTGTTTGATAATTTTAAGGTAATAAAATTATTGAAACTTGTATTTTACTCAACGTATAGGTTGATATCCAGAATTTCAACGGAAACACGAATTTTTCGAATTCCAAAAGAGCCTGGAATCTTCAGGTGACTGTCATATCTTTTCAACTTACTTCTTTCACATTCCTATTGGATGCATTCAGTAGCGTTCTGTGAACTCAAGTTGAGAGTAATTTCATTATTGAATGAGATGAGCAGAAGTATGGTAACTAGGATGACTCGATTATATGACATTCAAGTGTGATTTCTCACTGCGTTGAGAAGCAAACTAGTATTCATGCACTCAATGAATTTCTTATCCGAGCAAAACCATATATATCGTTTGTAGCATGCGACAAAGCTAGTGAACATTCTCATATTTCATTTCAATTCACGATTTACCAAGAAAAGTTAAAATTTTGTCAAGAAATAAATAACACTGGTAGAAGACGAGTGGACGAGAGAAATAAAACAAAATAGCTTGAAAATCTGTTTGCTTGTTATTTTTTCTTCAAGCATTAATTTCATTTCAAACTCTGATGAAGACGTTATTTCTGAAGTGCCGTAAATTTTCATTTGCCTGATAATCTGTACCAGATATTTTTTTCCAAGTGGTTGAATTAATCAGCAAGCGGAGTAACTTTACCAATTTTAATTTCGACAAGGTAACTGAAATCGGATTGGGACTGGAGGGAGGGGGGGGGGGGGAGAGGGCCAAGTATATAAGGCAAATTTAGTTAGAGTAACAGAATTGTTACCTTTCATTCGACCATCTAACCAACCTGCTTTTGTGTTTCACCTTCAACCATTTCGAGATTTTAGGTTATTAAGTCCCTAAAGGAAGTAAAGCGCGATTTCAATCCGGTTTTATATTTTTCAAACCAGATATTACAATCTAATGGTTAGGGTGTTTAATCTTTCGAGAATCGCTCTCTAATAACCAGTTTGATTATCATGGTTTTTGTATTATTTAAGATATGAATATTTTTATTTCATCCATATTTGCTTTTTGTCCCAATTTTTATTTTGAAATATACTTATTTTCAGGTATATTATATGACACATAATTAAGGTTTCCCATAAAATACTTTTAACCAGAGTTTTCTTGCATAAAAATGTCACCCGATTTTGTTTAACTTGACCGAAATCGTGGACTATTGTTTCCTCTAAAATTTAGTGCTGTTTCCCATAGTATTGGAGCATTTCCTGAAATGTAGCGAAAACTAATATTACATTTGAATCGCTGCACTTCGAATCCACCCTCTCCTACCCCTTTTCCTTTGAAGCGACATTTGATGCCGTGAGAATAGACCTGTTTCGATTCTTATTGCTGGGATTGGATACAGGAGATTTATTCTGCATCCTGTAGTATTTTCCATATCTCTTAATGAGCGCAAAAAAATTTCTACGTAAAACTGCTTCCTTCCTTTCAAAATACTAATTGCTATGCGCTAACTTCAGTGACTTAAAAACTAGAAAAACGCCAGAGTAATTTAAAATCTAACTTCTACCATAATTATTTTCGAAATATTCTCGACTTATGAAAATTTAAAAAAAAATGAATTTTTAAAATGATTTGAGAAATATTTAAGCTCTAGTTTTTACGATCTATTTAAATTTTTATCAATTCGAATTACATTGTTGCGGTCTGTAGGGAAGGCATGTAGTGAGAATAAATATAACATTTAGTAGATGAATGGTCTTGTTTTGCCCAAGCGGTTGAGATTGAATAGGAATTGACTGGAGTTACAACTTTTTATAATTTGTAGGAATTGATCAAAACTAAAAGATACCGTTGCTTACAGGATGCAGATTTTTACATAATAAATAGAAGGATTTTTTAAATAAATGCAAACTTAAGACCGCCTTGCTAGGTTAGGACATCCTTCATTGGTATTATATGATATTTGAACAGAAGATGGAGAAGACGAGTTTAAAAACAAGGTGTGAAAAGCAATTTATTTGGAGGAACCGATAAAGTAGGTACGAGTACAACGAATATGAGTCCAATTCCTTAACATGCTATTGGGTGGTTTGAGAAGTTCAAATAAATTAGAGGAAGATCTTTATTACTTTTACTTAAAAATATTTGTCTTTTGAGGCCTGCAAAAATTAAGCGAAATCTGCTACCTCAAATTACGGGCAAATAGAACAATTTAGTTATCTGAGAACTTCCAGTAAATTTTCAAATGACGAAATAATTCAACTTATTTAAACCCGGTTAAAACTTGATTTCAATGAAATACAGATATCTGACCAAACTGAGTTCGTTACACTCTAAATTCGTATACAGATTAAATTTCAAAATTAATGTGTCTGAAACTCCAAAATTTTGTCACATTGCCCCTGGAGAGAGGACGGACTTCGTGTATGCTCGTAGTTTCTAAAGACGATAGATTTACAGCATAGGAAATTGAATACTTTTGAATGGAACGCCTACAGGTGAAATAAATTCATTCATATAAACCGGCAGTTGACTTCTGACTTCAAACTACCATGAGTACTGGGCAACGTATACTCATACGGCAAAAAAGTCTACAAACCGGCAGTTGACTTCTGACTTCAAACTACCATCACCCGACTGTATGTCATATTCCACAACTTCTACAGTACTCACCTCACCTCTGTCCCTACCTTTGTGCTTGTCTGTCTCTTCTACATCTGTGAATCACTCTTTTGCTCCCCCTCTCGAATTTTTCTCACTTTGATGTTCCTTCCTCTAATGATAACTATTCAAAACGCCTGCCATTTGAAATAATAATAATAATAATAATCTCCATTTGTTGTAAACTTTAATCAAGTTTATTTCCATCTAATAGAATGGCCAACTAAGTAAAAGATCACGAGAACAATCCAGTGCTTCTCTGCATCGTCTTTATGGTCGAAATCACTCCGTAATTCCTTTCTATCCAATTAACTATTGAAAAGAAAACATTACATTGAAATTTATAAGTTTCAGCTATTCCTGCGTTTTTGCTATTAGGTTGGACGAATGGGGGGTGATCGACTCTATGAACAGAATTCGAACGAGATGCGTAAAAGCATGGTCAGCTAATAGAATAAATAATTCCTTTTAAACACAGTTCTTAACCCCTGTATATTTCTGCTAAAATTCCCGTTCCTGTTTATTTCAGACGGCGATGTCTCCAATGACTAGGAAGAGACACAAAGAAAATACACTTCCCCGAAGAAATCAGGTATTCCTTATACTTATTTCCTGCCTCTATAGACCTTTCTTATATTAACTATCAGTTGCCACTGGCAAAATCCAGCTGATAATATGCTAAATAAATAGAAATGAAATTTGCATTGATGATATGGCAGGCTTAGATTGATCTAAACACTATGATAACACGCTTGAGGTAATGAGAGTATACTTTAATGGCTGAGCAGAGCAAAATAGGACACTTATTTCTTCCATTCATCAACAGCAGGCGGTGCAAAGCAATTTGACAAGCGGCATTCAATTAATGGAATTTAAACTTACGAACTGACAATCTAGACCAGTTAGGGATGGTATAAGACGTGAAACGAATTTAATTTTACAATGAGATCTGGATATCAAGCACCTTACCTATTTTGATTAATAAATCATTGAATCACCAACGTTTTCACCGGTCAATTTATTTAATTTTTAACATTTAAACATTCCTAGGCGTTCTGTATTGATATAGGCTCTCGATTTCTGAAAAAAAGTTTACTTAGTTGATTGGTTTGCCAAGACACAAGGACTCATCCTTGTTTGCCTTTAAGCAGGAATGGCTAGATGATACAAAGTTACTTTAACAAATGTAAGATCTTACCCAGAGTGTAACCTAATAGACAATAAGTTTATGAAAAAAAATGTTTCGAAATCTATGCAAGAAGGGAAAAATCGCATCTGGAATTCGAATGACTATAATTTGTGTGAAGAAAAACACTCATAGCTTCAACGTGTTCGAAAGTAAAAAAATTAAAAATTAAAAAAATATATAACTTTAAAATGAGCAAATCGCTAATTGCATTGTACACAAAGGTTACCGTAAAGACGAACAAAATCAGAATACATAAAATGCTTTTGTACCTATTAAAATAAATTAAAAATGATCTTGATAGTTAAAAGCAATAATGTAATTAACTTGTTTGTGGTAGATTATAAGATGTTAATGTCTGGATTTCCTCAGAATTGAAATTTTCCCTCAGTCTCTCTCCCCCCAACTCACGAATAATTTCATACAATAATGCGTTTTTTTGCATTTTTAACCAAAAATGTAAATCTGTATGAAATATACTATGTCTCAAAATATAACTTCTTAGTATAGGTATTTCAAATCGATATTTACTGTATCGAGTGTGACTTGTGGTATTGAGAAGTAATCGAAACCCATATTTTGTGAAAAGGTGTCATATAAAACCCCTACTGGTTTTCGTATTTTATTTGTCTCAAAAAATATATATTTTGCTGCTAAATTAATCATTTGCTAGTAATTTATAATATTGAAATGCAATAATTTATTTATATATTTATATCAAATGACAGGCGTTTTGATGGTTATCATTAGCCCTTTAGCTGACTTCAGGCTTCACAGAGGTGAAGGAACATCAAAGTGAAAAAAAGTTGAGGAGGGGGGTGAGGAGAACAGAAGAGTGTTTCACGGACGAAGGTAGATAAGATGGAAAAAAGGTGAGGTGGGTACTGTGGAAGTAGTCGAATATGACATATAGTAGGGTGATGGTAGTTTGAAGTCCGAACTCAACTGCCCATTAATAGACTTTTTACCGTATGAGTATACGTTGCCCAGGGTGCACCACGTGGAGGTAAGTCTATCGCTCACCCCATTGTAATGCAATAAATCACTCGATTATTAAGGCAGTGGCAAAGTAGACATCTGCTGAGTCGAAGGTGGTGAGAAAAGATACACCTGGAGATTTGTTACATACTTTGTTGTTAATGATAAGAAAAATAAACAACTCTTAACCACGGAAAAGTACCTTAGCATAAATTGAAGTTAGTGGCGGTAGGTGGGGGGGCGTTCAGTCTCAGCAGAGTATTAAAAGTGCCTTAGTTGGCCTAAATTCAAGATGTTTTGAGCAATTCGCCACACGTTCTTGTGTATTTATTGTTCGAATTTCTTGCATAGTTTTCTTAATTATGCGCCATCTTGCACTTTGATTTGAGAAATAGTTAATAAAAACAAATAAATCATCTCTATGGAGTTATTAATTTAGTCTAATTTTTTTATCCATGATAACTCCTTTAAATATACACTTTGCTCTAAAAGCTACATTTTCGGTCTGTATGCAAGTAAGTTGACTGTAAACTTAAGTTGCTCATTTGATATGTTTTTGTTGACATGGTGATAAAATCAAGGAAAAAAATTATTATCACAAGTTACTGGCTGCATTTTTTTAAATTGACCAGGTCAACGAATTGTTTAGAACGTAAGTTAATAAATCAAACGGTTAATATCCACAGCATTGTTCTCTAGTATTAGCTCATTCCCTTTCTTATACATATGATCTTCTCAAGCAGATCTCATGTGGTAAGCTCAAACAGATTAGTTGATGAATAATTCAGTGCAATTAACTTTTGAATTTCATTTCTCTATAGTTTAACATAATCATTTACATCTCCATCGATTTTGAGTAAAATTCAGGTTTTTTTGACAAGACATTCTTTAACTAACCAAGAGCACTGCATAAAATAAAACAAAATGCAGTGTTTCATTTGAACCTTCCAGACTCCAACGTAACTTCCGGACTTTAAATTTTTGTTTGGGCTACAATATTGATTCATCTTCATATTTGCATTCAAACGACAAATATCAAATTTTGGACTTCCTGATGACCACAAATATTCGAGGTCACTTAAAATAACCAATGTTTCACTTGGGGTTACATTTTACCTTCCGTGGATGCAAGACTTAATGCCCTGGAAATTTATGATATTCATAATTTTAATTTCGCCTAAAATATGCACCATTTTATATATAATCGGCAAAGGGTCTTCTTAGTTCATTATTGAAATTAGTAAAGATTTAATATAAAACTATTTAAGTATTACAGCATTCATATATAAAACGCAGGAATTTTTCAGTTTGCTAATGACAATTACAAAGTGGAAGAGACAGTTGTCTGGACGTGTAGCGCATTGATACACATTAATAAGTGTAGGCTTATTTCCAGTATTCCGTATGTCAAAAATAACCTAGTATGGATAGGCGCCCGAAATGCGATTATCTGTTCAATCCAAATGGAAGAAGTAAGCAAATAGTTTGCATGGTGTTTATTCAAGCTATGCTCATAGCAAACAAGATTCGTATTTGAATGTATCTTAATAACCAACTACCTGAGAAGTCCTCTGCACACACACGGCCGCACTCTCCAGAATGTTCGGACACGCAGTATAATTGTGTTAGGATTGCTTACTCCATTGACGCAATGGTATTCGCGATATAAAAGAGCTAAGCCATATATCTTCCATTTAAAACGTAAGTTGGTCATACGCCGTATTTCAAGTAAATATTTAAACCAATAATAAAATTATTACGTACAACTGATTTGTTCAAAGTTTTTACTACTATTAATTCATTCATTAAATTGATAGCAGTTGTAAAGAGCTAATGTATTTGGTAACTTACACCTTATTCATATTGCATGAATTATGCATTTAGAGAGTACAAGTTTCTGTTGTAGCTATTTCATTTTTTTATTTTTACTTCAGTACCCACATTAAAAAGAATAAATTCAAAGTTTACAACGAGAAAGAAAGAGGAATACAAAGTGAAATAAATCATACAATGGAGGTGGTATTCGAGTAGATATTGAGATTTTAATTAAATCAATAAAAAAATTTCCCTTTATTTTTTAAAAATTCGTTTTACTCTAATTCCTTATTTGCACTCTGACTCTGTAAAACAATGAATGAATGCGATAGAGTATACAAAAAAATTAAATATACGTTTCATTTAGCACCAAATGTATCAGCAGGTTGTCAGTAGCTCACATAATATAAATAAAACCGAGTTAACTAGAGCTTATTCAAAGCCTCCTATAATTTTATTTAAATTTGAAGGCGTTCTTGTCTATTTGAAGGGATTTTGGGATAACGGGTTTTAATTTTTTAATTACTTTCTTGTCCATAGATCTTACCAACAGTTCAATTTTTTTAGATGCCAATAATTAGTCAGAATTTTTGTAAGGCCGTTTAATTAAATATTGTTGAAATTTCACGGATAGAATTCTTATCAACATTTACGAGAGATCAGTTATTTCGAAAAAATAATATCACACACTGTTGACACTATGGCATTATGAATTAAATAGGCACATCAAAGTACAATCCATAAAAAGACTAATAAAAGCCAAAGCTAATAAAATTTACCACCTATGTGGTTGTTATGACCACAACTATTGTACTCATTTAAACAAAATCTAAATTAAATATGCAGCGAAAATTGTTCTGACGCAAAATCGTATCAATAAGCTTTAAAATAATTGAAGCAATAGTGATTTCTAGGCGCGTAGATTTCTTGAATATCTGACAGTTTATTCTGTTACTGCTATAGTGAATAAAGGTCTACTTTTTTAAGAAGTCACCTTATGCAATAAATGCATATGGGCTCAGTAAGAAGTCTTGAAATTGTGTACATGGGATAATATATATGCTGGATTAATGGCAAAAAAGATGAACTAACGAATGGTAGTAAGAGTCAATCTGAAATTTTAACGATATGATGTTTGTTGATTGAATTATTATTTCATTCGCATCGCGTGTCCTCCCTGCTTTTGACCTTGATGTTTTTTAGTTAAATGAAGAAGCAATAAATAAGTTACAGTTCAAACATTCAAATACACTTAAGTTAAGAGAAATGCTCTAGTCTTTCAACATCCTCTTCGATAAATTTTGGCTTTTATTCATGCTCAAAAACTTATTTTTGCTCTTATCACGAAACAGAATGTTATACTGTGAGAAAAGAAAGACAATCGAATGGTAAGAATTTGTACCAAGTCATCCCAACTGTTTTACAAAATTTGATCTTCTAACTCAAAAAGTTTAATTTATACATCGCATGT